TATTTATTTTTTAAAAAAAGTAAAGATTTTCTTTTCTTTTTTTTAATAAAATTTGGCATTTTTTGCCATTTTCCCCCTTAAAATACTGTCATTTTTTTTATAAAGTTGATGCTTGACAGCCTGTTAATGCAAATGTGCAAAAAGTACTTGCGATATAGTTAATTCAAGACCTAAAAAATGGAATTTTTTTAAAATGTAAAAAATGTTCTTATGTAGATACTGCTTGCCCAAACCTAAAGTCTTTGTTATATATGCTACAGAATGCCACAGTAGATGTTTTATTCAAGTAAAAGATTTTCTTCAAATTTCATTTTTTCACAACTAATAGTTTCCTTCTGATATAACATTTTAAAAGTAGTTTATTAAAATATAGAATATGTGTTCACTTATGTTTAATTTATGCATTTAATAAAAATTAGCAATAGCAACTACTCTGTTTTGTTAAGTTTTTATGCAAAACTGCATATGAATTATTTAGGGCTAAAGGAATTAATTACCTCTAAAAAGTCTCAAGTATTCTCTTAAATGTAATGTTTTTCCGAAATAATGTTTTTTCAAATAATATACTAATCTGTGTTTTAAAGCTTACAGGAAGTAACTTTTTTTTATCTACAGTTAACATCTTAGACAGATGTTAACTGCATCCAGCTACTGACTTGAAGGAAGCCTCCGAGACAAAGACTTTAGGTGTAAGTAGAATAATTCTGTTGACCAGCCTCAAACCCCTTCTTCATATGTTAGGCTGGCATAGATGTATATTTATGTTGTATTGTTTCCTGCCTAGGATAATGAATGCTGGATCTTCTTGGCTCTTCCTATTATCTCCTAATGAGTTTACAATGAGTCTAAATGACATTAAAACTCAGTTTAATGGTTCGAAGATCAGCTGGTAGTAAGGTTTCCCTAACTCTGTCATAGCTCTCAGAGGCAAGTATTTGTGGTTTTTAAAGTAACCTTCAATCAGTTGAATCTTACCTCTTGTAAAATGCACTAGACTTGCTTTTTCTTTGTGAGACTAATTTAAATTTGGCTATTCCTTCTTCAGATCTTAGTATTGATAAGTACTATCCTTTAATTCACAAAGACTCCAATGGTTGCATGCATGGTTTGGGGGTATACTTACACATCAGTTCACCTATTTGTTGATAAATTAGGTTAAAATCCTTTGAACATTCTTTACGTGCTTCTACTTACTCTTCATTCTATCACCGTTCTTTTTGTTCTTTGTTCTTCTAGAGACTGCACACTTTTACATGTAATTTCTGATGAAATAGACCGTGCTTTTTCTTTTTACCTATCTACCAATATTTTTGTTATTGGGGGCTTTAATGCTCATCACACTGAATGACTTGACTCTAACACCATTGACCCTGCTGGCACTAAAGCCCATCACTTCTGGATTTCTTCATCTCTCACTAAGATAGTTAACTTTGTGACTCTTTTTCCAGGCAACCTTTATCACTTGCCTTTACTCCTTGATTTGTGTCTTGTCTCTGACTCTACAATGTGTTCAATTTCTCCTTGTTCTCATTTAGGTGGTTCTGACCAGGCAACGATCTCTTTGAACTCACTCTATCTTTGCACTAAATCATACCTATATCACACGTAAAGCTGACTGGGATTTTTCTCATGATATTCTTTGTGACGGTCCTTGGGCTGATGTTTTTTTTCTCTCCACTGATAAATGCACCTCATGGATCCAGGCAGGAACCGAAGCTTTTATTCTTTCTTGCTGGTTCCAAGTCAAGCCTCATTTAACTCTATAGTCTTTACTTTTTTGTGCAGTTGCTCTATCTAATTGCAGTTATTTTTAAAATCTTTTTTAATAGAGCAACTTTCTTGAGAACCAATGTCTTTTTATTATTGCAAGAAATCAATGTAAAAAGGTGGTGTCTGATGTTAAGCTCTACTATTCCCAGTTTACTAAATCTTGTATCTTATCCCAAAATTTAGGCTTTAGAGGCATTTGGAAAATATCTAGAACCTTTTACAGTGACAATAATAAAGGTCTAACATTCAATCTCTAATTCATGGGACTGTTACGTAATATAATACGCAATAAATGAATGGTACGAATTACTGTTAAACCAAACAACACTTTGTAACAACTTATAACAAATATAAATACTAATTTCAATTGTCCCGATATATTATATAAAACCGTATAAATATAATACAACTTGTTTTACTATATCTTCTATTATCTTCGGCTCCTCTACAACTTCAATCGCTTCTTTTACTCCTTCAACCGAACCGGGTCAATAACTCAACTCCGAACGTTTGTTAACTGTCGTTTTTATACGTTTTGTTTAAACGCTAGACGCGTTTCCGTTCATAAACAAATTGTTTTGGTACGCTAGCGTCTATGCTACACGTCTATATGGTTCAATAAACTTGAGTTACTCAAGCGTTCCGCTTGAGTAACCCACCTTCGTAACAGGACTAATCTTATTAGTCTCTCAAGGATAAGGCTGAACTATTTGCAAAAAACTTTTCTTTAAATTTGATTTTTGAATCTTATGTCATACTCTTCCTTCCAATCCAGTTAAACAGGATAATCCATTGTTAAACATTCAAACCACTCCAGGCTCCATTGCAAAAGTCACATCTAAATACAACTTGTGGTCCTGGCAACATTTCTGTCATAGTCTTACAAAAGTGTTTTCTTTGAAACTCTCTTCAATTCTCTCTAAACCATTAAATAAATCCTTGACTGATTCTTGTTTTCCTGCTTGCTGGAATATGGCATTGGTGGTTCCAATTTCTAATAACTCTGGAGCACATTCTGACCTCTACAACTTGCTAATAACAGAAAGAAAGTCTTCTTTCTGTTATTAGCAAGGTCTTTGAGCCTTTGATCAACAAATTTCATCAAACATCCCATCTTAAGTCAAATAACTTGCTATCAAACAATCAATTTTTTTTCAATCTTCTTGCTCTACGACAGACTTGGCAACTGCTGTGATGGAAAGATTTTATCATGCATTAGATGGGGACAGTTAGACAAAGGCTATTGTTCTTAGCATGTTTAAAGCCTTCCATAAAGTTTGGCATACTAGTCTTCATATGCTATGTTCATATGATGAATCTGGGGAAATTTTTGAGATTATCAAATCATTTCTAGAATTTCTAGGTTCTTAGGTTTCAGCTCTACTTCCATAACCTTGGGTACCACTACTTAAAGTTTAATATGGGTATGATTCTAGGATTTCTAGGTTCTTAGGTTTCTATGGTTCTAGGGTTTGAAAGAGTGGTCATATAATTGCATAGTTTAAAAATCAACAAGCAATAATTTTCTATAGTATTCATTAATATATCATATTCATATATCATATAGTATCATTTTCAGAAATTTTAATTACTTGATCTTTCAGTATTATTATTTTCAGTATTATTTATTTTTATGTCTTGTTTGTTATTATGTCAGTAAAAACTTTTGTAAATAAAATTATACATTATTATGTTATTTCTCATTCAATATCTGATTTCAAAGAAAAACTAAACAACTCCCAATGTTTATTTCTCATTCAATATCTGATTTCAAAGAAAAACTAAACAACTCTCAATGTTTATTTCTCATTCAATATCTGATTTCAAAGAAAAACTAAACAACTCTCAATGTTTATTTTTTTAAAGAATTATGGTATTAAAAATAAAACACTCAATATGATGTAGAAATTTTGTGTAACATGTTGCACTTTATTGCAACATGTTGTCTGTAACAACATGTTGCAATAAAGGTCTCTAGTTGCAAGAGGTGAGCCGTAAAATTCTATTTTGGGTCTGTTTGTTTACTGTTTATATAAACGATTTACCAATTTAACCAAAATAAACCAAATAAAAATCAAATAAAAAATAAAAAAGTTATCAACTAAGTGTAAAATATACACTGATGATATAAAGCAATTTAATATAATAAGATCATCTAGTTTAGAAATAACTCAAACTGAAATAAACTTATGACATGGTCAAAATTAATGGTCAAACTTATGGTTATCAAAATGTAAGGTAAGCAAATGTCAACACGTGCATATAGGAAGTAAAAATACAAAGTATATCTACGCAATGTATGATCCAGTGTTAGATAGGGTTGAACTACCAGAAACCAAATTTAAAAAAATTTTAGAATTATAATTTCAAATGGTTTAAAATAGTCTAGTCTAGTTAATTTTGTGTCTCTGGCAAAGCTTAAGTAATGATAAGAATAGTACAACATTCATTAAAACACTTAGGCTAATGATAAGAATAATACAACATTAAAACTCTTTTAAATGCCTCTAAACTGTTGTACATCTTTCTTGTAAGACTGTATCTTGACTCTTATAAGATTGTATCTAGACTCTTGTAAGACTGTATCTAGACTTTTATAAGAATGTATCTAGAATCTTGTAAGACTGTATCTAGACTCTTGTAAGACTGAATCTAGACTCTTGTAAGACTGTATCTAGACTCTGCAACTTCAGTGTGGTTTTTACTTATAACAAGAACAAAAGTTGAAATCATACAATGTTAAAGTAACATTAATAAAATGTCTTCAATGAAAATACCATAAAACAAGACTAACGTTTTTTAAATTAACATCTCTTGAAAAAAAACACGACTGTAATGACATTTTTTCAAAGTGATTAAAAAAATAAAAAGGACTTAATATAAGTTTGGTGTTTGTAATACAGCCAAACTCTTTTTTTCTTTTCTGTTAAGAATTAATGTAAATTATATTATTTTTTGTAAATTATATTATATTAAATTTATCTTAATATTTTAAATCCAACATTTTAAAATAAATTTTGCTATTTCATTTATTTTCTAATTATAAAGAGTTATCTATAAAATACAAATTTGTTATTTATAAAATACAAATTTCAATCCATTTATGTAAATAAAAACTATCATTTCTTCTTTCTAGTTGCTTACTAACACAAAGTTATTCTGAGACTTTGTCATTTAAAATCCAAAAAAATTTGATTTAATTTTGAGATAATTTTTTTTCCATATCTTAGGATCACTATGAGCGCTGTGAAGGTTTTCCCGTTAATTGTCCTAATGTCTGTGAAGTTGTAGTAATTCCTAGAGGAAAGGTAAGTCAATATTACAAATGGGTTTTGTTATAATATTTATATTGAGAAGAAATTTACATTAATTTTTTATATAAAATATTTTATGAAGTTAAAAATACATATGGAAGTGGAATGCTCAAGAGCGATATTAAAATGCTCATATAAAGATACTGGTTGTGAATTTCAAGTAAGTTTTTTGCCAAATCAATATTGTTTTTTAAAAAAATTTTGAACATAAATAGTTAAATTTAAATTTTTAATTTTATCTATCAGAATTTTGTGATTATGCAACTGTATTATGGAGATATTATAAAATTATAAAAAGATATACTGTAATTAAAAGATATTATAATTATATTATTATTATAAAAATATTAGACATTATATACTATATTATATACTTAATTAACTACTGGTTAGCTCCATCTAAAAAATATTTTGGCAGTCAAAAAATAACAAAGTATTTATAGTAAATAATGCAGTGAAAAATTTTCACATATTTATTGCATTTGTACATTTTATGTCTTTATGACAAATGTATTTTTTATGACAGAGAGACAAATTTATATTTTATATTATTACGAAGCAAATTTATTTTTTTTAATTAATTTGATTTTGAAAACTTTGAAATTACTGTAAAAAAAATCCAGGCTTAATAAAACAATAAAAAATATTAATCAAAAATGGTATAAAATGTGCTAGGAAAGCCAAAATAAAACTCAGTAAAGGATTTTTTTTTTTTTTAATTATCTTCGCTTCCAACAAGGCTGCAAGCAACCACTAATTAGTGTTAGAAGTTACTGGAAGAGAAAAGATGAAGATTGTAGAGCAAAATAACAATTGACAGACGACTTAAAAGATTGCAAATTTTATGAATCAGGAAAGCAAGATGAAGGAAGCGAATTCCAAAGAACTGATGTTCGAGGAAAAAAACTAGACGAATAAGAGCCCATTATAGTATTTGTAGAGAAGAGAAAAAGAAGCAACATTACGACGATGTGACAGAGGTTGAAGGATGGCTGCAAGTTCAGGTCCAACAATGTTTACAATGCATTTTTGCACCTTGTCTAAAAGAGAAAGGGCATCATTAGAAGATCCACCCCAGATATGGCAACAGTATTCCATACAAGGCCGGATTTGAGATTTAAAGATATATAGAATAGAATCCAGAGAAAGAAAGTGACGAGCTCGATAAAGAGAAGCAACTTTAGCAGATACTAATTTTGCAACGGATTTGATATAAGGTTTCCAAGAAAAATCAGAAGTAAGAGTTAATCCTAGAAGATGAAGGGTAGGAGACGCATCGAGTACATTACCGTTCATAAATATAGGAAGGTCTAAACTATTGCGATAACGATTGGCCGAAAAAAATTGAGTTTTATCTGAATTAAAGTTCACCAGCCATTGTGAGCCCCATGCTGTAGCAGAAGTGAGATCCTTTTCAAGCTCAGATGCCTGCAAGCAATCAGAGGGAGTTGGCTTATTATTAGGACAAGAATAAATGGTAGTATCATCAGCGAACAATGCCACCTTGGATGTGAGAATATCTGGAAGATCGTTAATGTAAATTAAAAAGAGTATAGGGCCAAGGATTGAACCTTGAGGAACCCCTGAGGTTAAAGAATAAGAAGAAGATTGTTGTTCATCAAGGACAACCTTTATACTACGATTGGAAAGGAAGGATTCAATAATCTTAAAGATGTTTCCAGATACACCGTAAGAAGAAAGCTTATGGAGAAGACCAGCATGCCAAACTTTATCAAATGCTTCAGAAATGTCAAGAGCAATGGCCTTAACCTCTCCACCTTTATCTAATGCGCGATAAAACCTATCAGTTATTACTGTTAGCAAATCAGCCGTAGAACGAGAAGATCGAAATCCATATTGATGATCAGAAAGTAAGTTATTAGATTCAAGATGAGAGATTAAGTGTTTGTTAATTAAAGATTCAAAAACCTTGCTTACGATAAGAAGAAGACTAATGGGACAGTAGTTAGACGAATCGGATCGCTCTCCAGAATTTTTCAAAATAGGGATAACAGATGCTGCTTTCCAGCAGGCTGGAAAACAAGACTCTGATAAGCACTTGTCAAATAGTTTTGAAAGGATAGACAACAGCTCCGGAGAACACTTCTGCAAGACTATAACAGGTATGTTGTCTGGGCCGCAAGCTGTAGAAGCGGGAAATCACTTTAGATACAGAAGCTGGAGTGATACGAATGTCGAGCAATGGATCAACCTGTTTGACGGCTATATCAGGTAGAACGCAAGTAGTGGCATCAAGAGATGATATTGATGAAAAGATCTTGGCAAACAATTCAGCTTTGTCTTTAGGTGAGGTGACAAAGTCTGAACCATACAAAAGAGGTGGAATTACAGACTTGCCCTTATTATTGATACTGTTAAAGATTCTCCAGAAGTCACGAGAGCCTAATTTTTGTGATGAAATATGAGATTTCATGATCTGAGAATAGTGGGCTTTGGCATTAGACAAAACCTTTTTACAATGGTTCCTAGCAGTAATAAACAGACATCTGTTTTCTGGGGAATTGTTTTGCTGATAGATATGGAAGTAATGGTTTCGATTGGCAATTGCAGCAGCACAATGTGAGGAAAACCATGGAGAAGAGTGAATAAAAGGAGAGGGAATGGAGAAGAGTGAATAAAAGAAGAGGGAAAGAGAGGGAATAAAGGATTCCATGCCAGCCTGAATCCACGAAGTTATGTAAGAAGCACATTTGTCAACAGGGAGACGAAAGATTTCTACCCAGGGACCATCACGAAGAAAATCACGGAAGGAGTCCCAGTCAGCTTTAAGGTAGTTGTAAGATGTACGATGATAGGGGGATTCTGATGGTAAAGAAGAATGAGATGATAGTTTTAGAGAGACCAAACCATGATCAGAAGCACCTAAGGGTGAGTGTAAAGAAAGTGAGCACTGACTAGGTTCAGAAACAAGACATAAGTCGAGTAGAGAAGGTAAATGATTCAGGTTGTCTGGAAAGCGATTTGGAAAGTTGACTATTTGAGTTAGGGATTGAGAAAGACAAAAGTTATGGGCCTTAATGCCTGCAGAGTCACTGACACTAGAGCCAAGCCGTTCAGTGTGATGAACATTAAAGTCACCGCCAACAACAATATTGGCTGATGGATAAAGAATGAGGGCTTGGTCAATATAATCAGAAACAATATCAAGAAGAGTGCAGTCTTGAGATGAGGGAGAGCGATATAGAACAAAGAAAAAGGTGATAGAGTGAAGTGGTGCTAAACGAAAGCACATAAAAGAGTAATCTGTGTATTCAAACCTAGTTTCCCGACAAATGGGTGAATTCTTACGAATGTAGATGCCTAGGCCATGCATGTGACTATTGGAGTCTTAACGAATTAAAGGAAGATAACCATCAACACTAAGATCACAAGATGAGACAGCTGAACTCAAATAAGCCTCACAAAGAGCAAGTGGGTCTGGTGAACTTTGCAAGAGATAAAACTCAAGAGAAGAAAAGTTACTTCAAAGACCACAAATGTTTGATGAATGATAGATTTAGCGAACTTGGTGATGACTGTGGTTTTTGTGTTTTATAGTTTTTGTTACTTTATTCATTTTTAAATTTGTTAAAGAACTTGACTCGAAACATAGATAGTACTCAGTATACTATCTTATAGCCCAAGCAATTGCCTTATTTCCACTAATAAACCCTAAGCCGTAACAAAGGGCTCCAATGTGGCCTTGGCAATGCACACCAAAAGTACAAACAGGGACACCATCCATGCAAAACATGTCACTGTTAGTACTCTGATATTTTTCAGCTGTTGATGGAATTAGCCTCTCTGAGAGCTACCACAGAGTTCGGGAAACCTGACTACCAGCCAGCCTCAGAACCATAAAACTGAGTTTTAGAGCTGTACCCTCATTTGGAGATAAAAGAATGAGTTGCCTAGTCATAAAAACAGAGACACAAGCAAAACCCATGAATTGAGTCAAGATGATCCAGCGTTCAACATCCTAAACTGGAAACAATGTATTAAAAATACATCTGCGCCAGCCTAATAGATGAAGAAGGGGTGCGAGGCTGGTCAACAGATAGAATCTGTTTACCCCTTAAGTCTTTGCCTAGGAGGCCTTCTACAAGACAGCAGCTGGATGCATTTAACATCTGCCCAAGATGAGTATTTTTATTGAGACACTTTCTCTAGCCTTTAACCAGGAGCTCCAAGGCAGGGGGTGTTTTATGTCAGAGTTTGCATCTCCTAGCCTTTGCTTAAAAAGGCATATCCTACAAGGCAGCAGGACATGAAGCAGATTGTACTGGGTTACATGTTACCAGTAGCAGGATAAACCTGACCTGACACAAGGATAGCAGGATAAACCTGACACAAGTCTGACCTGACACCAGTTAAAAGTAAAAAAACTGATTAGGTATTACAAAATTTATTTAAAAAAAAAAATTTATTTACTCGTTAATGAACGATTTTGAATAAAATAAATTTTTTTTTAATGAATCTAATTTGCATTATTATTTAGAAACAATTAAGTTTTATGCGAAAAATTTTGAAAAATAGTAAATAATGCGAGTATATGATTGGTAGAAAGAATGTTGACTTTATAAAACATCATGTTTTAAGCAAAATTTCGTTTAAAAAAATCGTTTAAAATTATTGGAAAATAAGTTTAAGAAGTAAAATTATATAACAATTATTAAAATAATCATAAAAATAGATGCTAGAAAAAGAAACAGAAAAAAATATTTCTTTGAAAAGGAAATCAGGATCTGAAACATTTGCTAAGAATAAAGTTTATGAAAGAAAGTTACAGTAACAAACAGCCTTTTGTTTGTTTTTTTAATAAATATTCTTTTGTTAATCAATAAATGTTTTCTTAAAAGTTCCCAATATTTCTAGTATCGTTTTTTTAAAAAAAGACTATCATTTCTTTTTGGTAACCGAAATCAAAAAAGTTTGATCATTAATATTAGAAAATATTTTTGCAATTAAATTTGAATGAATGATATTTGATCTAATTTGCTTTATTCATTCAAAGTTTTTCAAACTTTAAGTTTGAAAAACTTTGAATGAATAAATTTGTGTATTTTTATCAATTTTAAATGTTTTTACTAAGCAATCGTTTATAATGTTGCAAACTGTCGTTTAGTTTAAAGTATAGTTTTAACTGTATGAAAAATGTAA